AGGTGAGGAAGAATGTACTGTTAATTTAACATAGTGCACACATTCTGATAGGGAAATAGTTACGGTAATATTTCATACAGGCCAATAGGCAAATATTTACAGTACCTTTTACCTTGTAGAGTGAAATCTACAGATCTGGCCTGTAATTCATGCTCTCCGTCCCCCCCTCGAGTTAATACAAATAAGATGTTGAAAGGAAGTTGGAATACAACTGCATACTATTCCAAAAGAACACTGATTCCACAAAGACAATGTCTCAAACTTGGAATGCTGATGCATTTGAGAGATTTTGACTGAGTAGCTAGTGTTCCAGATGCCATAATTAATTATGAATAAAGATTAGTTATTTTTTATTCTATAAAATATGTAGTTCAGTTAACACAAGCAGCATTTTATTCACATGTAACTTTTACTGATGTGTCTTCTACTGAATATGGGTCTCATCAATTGCATCAATTGCATCTTTCTGAGTAGCAATATTAATGGATTTCATTGGTCTAGAATATATATAACCAAGGTTTACTTAGACAGTCCTTTAACATCTATAATGACAGAAATTAAAAGAAGCATTCAAGGTGGAAAAAACCTTAGACATCTTGGTCAACGTATGTTTAAAATGATTAAGTATGCTATCAACAGCGCTCTATCAACCAATAAATGTCTTATATTACCTCCCTGGAGATAAAGGAGTACTCAGGAAAGAAAAGGCCATTGCAGAGAAGCTAAATGAATTTTTTTGCATTTATTTTCAATGCAGAGGATATGGTAGAGATCCCCATACCCGAGCTGTTCTTTTTAGGTGACAAATCTGAGGAGCTGTCCCAGACTGAGGTGTCAAAAGATGAGTTTTTGCAACAAATTGATAAAGTAAACAGGAATAAGTCACCAGGACCAGATGGTATTCACCCATGAGTTCTGAAGGAACTCAAATGTGAAATTGTAGGACTACTAACTGTGGTATGTAATCTATTGCTTACATCAGCCTCTGTACCAGATGACTGAAAGGTTGCTAATGTAATGCCTATCTTTTAAAAGTCTCCAGAGGTGATCCTGGCAATTGCAGGCTAGTAAGCCAAACTTCAGTACAAGGCATATTCATTGAAACGATAATAAAGAACACAATTATCATATGAGCACAAATATGTTGGGGAAGTCAACATGGCATTTGTAAAGGGAAATGTGCCTCACCAGGCTGTTAGAATTCTTTGAGAGCGTCAACAAGCATTTGGACAAGGGTGCTCCAGCTTGGACTTTCAGAAAGCCTTTGACAAAGTCCCTCACCAAAGGCTCTTAAGCAAAGTAAACAATCATGGGATCAGAGGGAAGGTCCTCACATGGATCAGTAACTGCTTAAAAGATAGGGAAAAAGGGTAGGAATGGTCAATTTTCACAAAGGAGAAAGGTAAACAGTGGGGTCCCCCAAGGATCTGTATTGAGACAAGCGCTGTTCAACATGTTCATGAATGATCTGGAAAAAGAGGTGAACAGTGAGGTGACAAAATTTGCAGACAACACAAAATTACTCAAGACAGCTAAGTCCAAAGATGACTGCAAAGAGTTACAAAGGGATCTCACTAAAGTGTGTGACCAGGCGACAAAATGGCAGATGAAATTCAATGTTGACAAGTGCAAAAACAGTGCACATTGGAAAAATAATCCCAATTATACATACAAAATGATGGGGTCTAAATTAGCTGTTACCACTTCAGAGAGATATTGGAGTCATTGTGGATAGTTCTTTGAAAATAGCTGCTCAATGTGCAGCAGCAGTCAAAAAAGCGAACCAAATGTTAAGCACCATTAGGAAAGGGATATTCACGTAGCTGAAGTTGTGTAACTTGGATCAATCCCTCCCCCAGTGTAGCCCAAGCCTAAGTTCCACTTACTTTCAGTGAGACTCAGGCTCCTACATCAATTTTGAAAATGGGACTTAAGCACAATTTTAGAAATTAAACAATTTTCCTGAACCCTCCACAAATAGCATAATAATAATTAATATTAATATTAATTAATAAATGATACTATAATTAAATGACTTACAAGTATTCAAACAATTATAAACTATCTTTAAATAGTTTAAGGGTTTGACCCGAACTGAAAATAGCCTGCAAATGCTAATTGGAGGCTGAAGATTGCAACCTTTGAGCCTCAGCCAATTCACAGAGTAAACTGAAGATGTTGAATGTGAACCTGAAAATAGCATAATGTGACTTTTGTTGGCTTGTGCTCTAACCTTCATGGTTTTTTGTTGTTACTGTTGTTCCTTAACAATTTTTTAAAAAGAAATTTAAAATCAGGACATGCTATTAAAGAGTGGTCAATCCGAAAACTGAATGTTTAAAATTGACAGAATTTTAAAAAATCTCAGTTGAGCCTGTCCTTTAAGGTGAATCTATACCATCTTGTGCTGTGATCTAGTAAGATCTCACAACTGGGCTGGGTGAATACCTGAATGGGAGATCTCCAAATGACTTGTGGGCAGTTAAAGGTAGATGATAATCTTTCCTATGACTCAGTATAGAACAATTGCACCGATGTCCGGTGAGTGCAATATTGTGATGTTAATGTGCCATTTTCAGCTCTGCCCACTTGGGGTAACTGAAAATCCCATGGCATAAGAACAGGCAAGTTGACCCTAATAAAGTGGATAAATACCACTCTGCTGGTGTTCTGCTTACCTTAAATTTCCTTGAAGTTTCAACATGTTATGGTATCCTTAATTTCCTGCTCTAAAGTGTTCAGCTGCTGTAATTTGTTAAATAGCTACTATATTTCATCCCAGAGGTGCATTCCAATTAAGTGAAATGATACCGCTATAGTATGGATATTGGTTTGCTAAATTTGAAAAGAACTTTGGATTCTTTGGGATGAAAGGGGCTATATAAATGTAGAGTTATCAATAATATGCAGAGAAGTCATTGCTTTTAGCCCTTTTTATTGTTAACTCAGGAATAGATCATCTACTAATCCATAATAAATTAATATTAGATAATAATTATTATTATAGCTAGAGCACTAATGACCTCTACTAGTAAAGTTGCCTATGTGTTTCCACTCTAAGACCATTCCAAAAGCTTTCACATAACAAGCTGAAGTTTTCCCTGTATAGTCTCTGCCCAAAAGTGATTTTCTTGGGTCATTTTCGAGCATTATTCAGTCATTTTCAAAGACAAGAAAAGTGGGGAAAAATACACTTCCCTCATTATAAATAAATTCTTCTGACTTTTTTGGAACAGCACTGCAGCTGAAAGGAGTGAGAGTGGAAATCTGAAATTTGGCAGAGCAATATACCCCTTGCTGCCCAATGCCTTTGAGTGTTACAGTGATAACTGGCCTTAATCTGACCAAGTTAAAAAACTTTGAAATTGCACTTTCCTTAATGCCCAATGCTTAAGAATAGCATGATCTCAGCAACATTTAGAAGGAAGGTCTCCACTGGAGCGGTGCTTCATACAATACAATATCCTAATGTATGCATTTAATCCACAGAAACCCTTGAATCACTGAGTGTACACTTTGCACTGGGCAGAAAGCTCCCAGTAGTGTTTAGCCAAATAATTCCAGAATATATATTTTTTCTTCTCTTTTTCTTTTAAAAAGCCTTGGGAATTCTACAGTATTTAAAAATCTCATATCAAGAGACTGCTAAGGTTGCACAATGAAGCATTCAGAAGTCACGAAATGCCGATTGTAAGGTTGCACACACAACCTTTACTCTACTTCCTCAGGCATAGGCATGTAGCACAATCTTAGATAATTAGATACTGTGTCAAATAATACAATATGCCACCATACACTTGGTCTATATCCTTACAAGGTGCAGTGAGTGCGGAAGGGCTCCAGGGCCCAGATCCTCAAAGATACTCCTTAGGCATTGCTCCTTTCAGCATTGCAACACTTAGCCCCTAGGCAATCTGCAGTAGAATTGTCAGTCCTGAATTAGCCAGGAGAGAAATGACTGAATTGCTGAGGAGGGGAGAGGAACTGAGGCACATAAGCCTCTGACTTGGTGTGCCTAGCTGATGGGCCAGAGATAGGTGCCTCCCTCTACTCAGGATTCTCAGCTGAGAATTCTCTCCTGAAGTTAGGGAACTAAGCCAAGTTAGCTGCTTTGGTAGCCTATGCCCTAGGAGTTGAAACCATCTCTCTCTCTCTCTCTGTGTCCAGCCCTCATTCAATGCCTCTCTCACACTCGCTCCACAATTGTAATTGTTAATTTAGGAATATAAGTGACTTAATCTATTGTTAATCTATTAAGAATTATTATCATCATCGCTGGTGAGCTAGAGGAAGGTGTTGACTTAGAGTTTCTTTTTCTCCTGTTCCTTCTGTCATATAATGCTGGGATTAAGAAGGCAGCATTTGATCAACATGGTTTAGGGACTGCAGGCCTCATGGAAGGAGTAGGTTTTCAAAAGGAATTTTGAATGAGGAGATGGTGGGGCACGACACACTGACTCGGAGGGCATTCCAGATATAGAAGCAGGCATGAAAGTGCCTTTCTCTTCTTTAATTGAAATTTACCTTGCTGTTATATTAAATGATTTCATAATGTGTAATGTAGAATTTGTGCTGTATATCAAATATACGTACACCAATATGTAAAGCAGCATAAAGGAGAATAAAATTGTCCCAACTTTTTTTGCTGTTCTTGAAAATATAGAGCCAGGTCCTCAGTTCATGTAAACTGGCATGGCTCCATCAAAGTCAGTGGAGCTCTGCTGATTTACCCCAGCCACAGATCCGGCTTATAATTCAAAGGTAGAAGGTTCTAACTCGTTTAGAAGCCAGCTGCTAATTTTAAAACTGTTAGAATCAGTTTTTAGAAACAACTTGCTGACTCACTTTGGCTGACAGGTTGAGCATGATTAATAAGTAACATGAGAAATAAAGTGATGGATATGAAGCTGTTTGTTTTCACAGTTTAATGCCTTTCAACACAATAAAAATTGTTCAATTTTAATTATATAAATTAAAATTACAATAAACTGTTTCACTGCATGGAATCTAAAGCTGAAATGACACTAGTGAAGTGTTAAGCATTTGGGGCTCAATCCTGTGAGGTATTGAGCATCTCTTGGAAGGCTCTCTTAACTTCTAATTAGGTCAGTGGGACTTGAGGGTGCCTGCATTTCCCAGGAGGACCAGACGGGACTGGGCCTTTAGTAATGCTGCTTAAAACAACGGATTTACAGAACAAGCAATACTAAAACAAGACTAAGATATCAATCATAAATCTAAGCATTAAAGCAGAAAAGTGAGCCCAATTTTAAACCTAAACATTTATCATAAACAATTATCTAGTAGTATTTTAAATAAAGTAGGTGAATTTTCATACAACATTCCTCATTCACTATAGCATATATTCTGTACTGGGTAAATTCATATACCCTGAGTTTGAAAAAAACTAACTCAAGCAGCAATTATCTGCGCTGTTGGCCTGGCTCTTTGAAAAGCATTTAGGCATCCAGTATCTGTCTACCTGTTTTGCTTAAAAAACCTTACAATGATTTAAGGTTGAATAATCATTTTTGTCTGAAGAAAGCTAATACAGTGCTTCATAAAAGCCAGACACATCGCTTGCAAATTCTACAATAACACGTTGAATAAAACTGTTGATACATTTAAAATTGTATAGTTGCATTATTTCAAATATCCCGCATTCATACAGGCATCTGACAAAATGTTTAATGTTAACATATCATGTGTGTGTGAATTAGATAGATATTATGTCCCCGAAGGGTTAATGCTGTCTTGCTTCATTTCTTACATGTGGTAATTTAGCTGGGAACAAAAGCAGCTCCCTGCTGGTTACCTTGGCTAAAGGAAACACAATGAACTGGTAAAAACCAGTTTTATCTTACTGCTGTTGCCTAGGGCTACAGACAAAATGAAGTAAAAAAATTCACATGCAGAGTATTAGGTGCTTATGAAAGATCCAGCAGAGCTGTTGTCTAGCGATTCAGTAAAGAATCAGTGTAGGCCAATGATGTGTACTGATATTGAATAACATCCCTGATGACTGTTGTTTTACATCTCCTGTAATTCTGTCATGCAACCCCATGACTTTCCAGTGGTAAGAATCACTTTCAAGGGGACCTGTCAATAAGATTTAAACAAATAAATAAAAAGCGTATAGTGAGAATATTATTTTTGCTTCTCCTTTTGGAGTTGTTGATCTAGAATGCGAGCGTCACTAATTTGAAATATCTTTAATTAACGTTTATCATTATTTAGTTATCATTAAATACAATTCCTAATTAAAAAGCTGTAACATTTAGGACCACAGTTTGTCTTTGAATGTGCCCACACATCTCACTAAATTCAAAAGGAAACCCCTGTGAATGTGCATTCAAAACCAAAAGGTAATACCCCAAACTGGGGTTTTTTTTAGGAGCTACATCATTGTCATGAATATTATAAAGTTACCGTTCTTTACCATTTACTTTTCTGGCTTTCAGTTTTGTTTATTTCAATTAATTTGTGATCACTTCATTAACAGGAACTGTACATTTTGGAAAAGAAGCCACTTAAAAAATAAAAGTACCTTGTCCTTTTGTCCAAAACAAACAAAAAAACCTCTCCCCACTAAAATTCTGTGTGCTCTACTTTGTGACACTTCCTTCTCCATATTAAAGGGGTAATATTCAGAGTAATAGAGCATACAAATATATATGAAATAGAAGCTAGGTATATGCCGAGGCATTTTATAAAAGCTTATCGTCTTCATCATTCACATCTCAGAAGCATTATTCTCATTATACAAGATAAAATATGACAATAACAAAAACACAGATTTTTGCTTTAGTGAGCACAGGATCTACCCAACCAGATCAAACTATTAGTCCATTAAATCTGATATCTGGCACTGATCCAAACCTGATACTTCAGAGGATGGTGAAACACCTGTATAATGCACCTAGCCTATTGTGCATTAAAGGGAGAATGTCTTCCTGAGTCCCACAGGGGATGTCCCTGAAGCAGGAGATATTGATTATTCTTATTTTAACCAGATATATTTACATATATTATCGCTCATAACAATACTCCTAACTTTTTAATAAACTCCGCTCAGCAATTTCAGTGAAACCCAACCCCTGATTACATATTGTCTGAGCATTTCCTTTCACCTGTTCTAGATGTACTTGTCATTAACTTGGGAACTGCCAAGCTACTGTGGGAATGGCCATGTTTGATCAGAGCAGTAGTCCAGTTAGTCCGATATCTTACAGTGTCTGGTACTAGATACTTTAGAGGGAGAAATCCTTCAGTAGGCAGAGGTGCTGACGTTTCCCCCCCCTTCCCCCTCCCCCATTGGGTGCCCAACCACAAGGCCCCGCCCCTGCTCTGCCCCCTCCCCCAAGGACCCCTCCTCTCTCCGCCTCTTTCCACACCCGCTCTGCCCCCTCCCCCAAAGCCCTCCCCGCATGCCTGCTGCTCACTCATCTCTGCCTCCCCAGAGCGCCTCCTACCAGCTGCTCACTCTCCACCCCAGAACCCACCATACAGCTGATCAGCAGCCAGCCCTGCCCAGCAACTGTGATTGGTGCATGCTGAGCACCCCCTATTTTTTTTATATGGGTGCTTGAGCCCCAGAGCACCCACGGAGTCAGTGCCTGTAGGTGGATGTGTAACATTTTGCCCACAGTAACTTTTTCTTACCAACCTCTGCCTGTTAGTGGTTGTTTATGCCCTGAAACATGAAGATGTATATCCCCTCTTATGTAACTGGGATGTTTGCTTTATCCATGATCCTTTTTAGAACCCTCCTAAATTCCTACATCAATGATACCTCATGGCAATGAGTTCCAAGGATTAATTGTGTTGTGTAAACCAAGTATTTCCATGTCACCAATTACAAACTCATTCCCTTTCAGTGTCATTGAATGTTCCACCTCCTACCCCCTCATCTTTGTATTTGAAGGCTGGGTAAATAAGAGTGCATGGGCAATTTTAATCTTGGCAGGTTTCAGAGTAGCAGCCGTGTTAGTCTGTATCCGCAAAAAGAACAGGAGTACTTGTGGCACCTTAGAGACTAACAAATTTATTAGAGCATAAGCTTTTGTGGACTACAGCCCACTTCTTTGGATGCATATATATATATATGCACATATACTCTATATGCATCCGAAGAAGTGGGCTGTAGTCCACGAAAGCTTATGCTCTAATATACTTGGTTTGCTAGCCCATACTGAAGCCCATGGCACCCTGTTTTCACTGCGGTTGTTACCCATGCTAGCTAGATTAATGCTAGCATGGATATGCCTACCCATCACAATCGCCCTTTCACTGGCCGTGTAGACATACCCTTCCGTAGATTCTGATGCTCTGCTCCCCCTATAACTCTGCCAATGACATCAGTGGCAATCTTGTTCATGTAGGTACAGCCGACCATCAGGTGAGTGCCAGCCCATGAAATCAATTTTTTCT